CGGCTAGATTACGGCAGCCACGGTTCGCCGACAAGCACGCAACTGACGGAGTCGACGGCCGGATTCGCGGCAACCGGAAATAGACAGTGTTTCAAGCAGCGCGTTAGCGATGAGGTATGCCACGCGAGATTGGGAGGGGCACTAGGCGAGATTGCAAGGCGGCTTGGGAGAGGATACTAACGGGGGGAAGCGCAGAAGAGAGCGAAAGGTGTGGTTACGGTGGCTAGATAGTGTGGTCATCATTGTTTCGATAATAAAACGCGTCTACACCGCAATTACTGCACCGTTCCGAAAAATTCTCAGGGCTCCATGTTCGCCTACACTCGTGCACAAATTACCCACCACAACTGAATTTCGACCTCTGGGTGGTTTACGGGCCCTTTAAAGGGATATGCTGAACAAAAATCGCACACTGTGACTAAGGCATGACGATAGTTAGAGCGCGAGAACAAAACGACGACACAGAGACAAGAAGGACACGAAAGACACGATTCTTGTCTCTGTGTCGTCGTTTTGTTCTCGTGGTATAACTATCGTCATGCCATACCAACTAGCCCAAGCTGCCACCCTTCTATTTGACTAAGGCATCGCGATTCTTCTTGGAAGACGCGACTGTTCTGATAAACTGATTTTATTTCACGCATTTTTGGCTGATTTTACCGTGCAAACCCTGGCATTACATCCTCGGAGGCATATGCAGGGTGCACGCGTTCCTGTCCTCCTCTCCCTTTGTAACCTTTCCTTTATCCCACTCTCCCCCTTACAGAGAAGGGCTGATGCTTTAGCCCAACCAGGAGCAGTGTTCACTGCAGGCGTTGCCTCGTGGTTCTGGGAAACAATGTGGGAGCAGAGAGGGGTGAGAGACGCGGTCGACGGCTGGCGTGCACCTTTCTTTTTATGTTTTAAGCACTGTGCCCAACCGTGCCAGAAGTAGCATATGGTCAGCAAATAACCCGCTAGGTTTACGCTGTTTGTCGTGTGCTAGCATCGCCTCGCATTAAATAAATGTAGTTTAAATGCGAGACCAGTTCAAACAGTACGTCAGTCTGAAAAAAAAAATTGAGTGGAGCAATATATGTGCAGAAGTGGCACTTTCACTTTGGCGCGCGTGGAAGGGAGAAATGAAATGCTAAAGAGATATGTTCCAGAAAAACCGTAGAACAGGACAAACACAGCCAAAGCAAATTCAGGATTTTTTAGACTATTTTTCGCGGTGTCTCAACTTCTTTCTAGTGTCCGTGTTTTCATGCCCAGTCTTACATACTTTTTTTAAAGAGCTAGTTATTTTTTTTTAAAAACAGTGAATCCAACTGACACTTATGCCAGGGAAAGCATATGGAACTTTAAATGCTTTTTTTTACCTGTAGTGAAGTAATTGAGGTATAAATTTAAGTGAATCAAAGTGGATGAATAATCACACATTGCATCAGTGTCATCTGAACAAAGCACACATGTTCATCCCTTTTTTTCTTCAGCAGTGCCTCATTACCAGTACTTCTGTACTTCACACAATCTTTCAATTGCACGTCCCCTGTGCCCAACAACAATTAATGGCACCTATATGCTTTCCCAGGCCCAATTTTCTGTTAGATTCATTCAGTTGCAAGGCAAGTTGTCACTCAAAGTTGTCGTTACATAAAAGTTCATAGCTAGAATCCAATCAGGCTCGAAAGTGTTCCAGGAAATTGTTTATATAGAGGGTTATTTGAACATCCCTTGTTTCTTGAAAGCTTTTCAGCAATTCGGTTCAAGAGCATAAACCAGCATCTCATACCAAGCACAATATTTTGATATGTGGCTTTTTATTGGCGCAGGAGCCATATTTGGCCAAAGAGTGCCAGGAAAAATTGGACTAAAAAAGCATTGATGCGTGGTTTGTGGTGACATGTGAAAGATGCAAACTATGAGGCTGTTATGTGGCTGTATAGGGGCCTAAAACTCTACGCTTTCAGGCGGGTAAAAGACATATTTATCTAAAATCATGAGCGTGGCATGAAATGCTTCCAACATAGATCAATGGCAGTGGTTGTTGAATTTATAATGAGGTATATGTCATAAGCACAAATGCCTCACAGATAGCCCTTGTGTCCAAGGGTCGCAAGGCAGGTGCTATCTTAATGTTCCAACGCAACAGCCACCTCTACTCCGAGAGGTCGTGCTATGGGAATGCCTGGAAATACGACATTAAAATTATTGACATTCTTTAAAAATGAGAACAGTGATCTATAACTAAAAAGCGGTCTCGACTTATGAACATCGAATCGTTCAAGGGCATTTGATGATGGAAGGGAAACGGGAAGTGTTTTTTTTTTCTAAGTGTGTCTAATTCTGTGCACTTAACTAAAACATGAAGCACGGTGAGTAGTTCACCACAATTATCGCAAAGAGGTGGATCACCACCGGACAAAAGGTGTGAGTGAACACTCTGTGTGTGCCCTATCCTTAATGTGGTGAGTGTGACTTCTGTGTGGCGTGATCTCGAAACTGATGACCAATCCCCGAAACGTGGCTTAATGAGGTGAAGTTTGTTCCGTGTTTGTGTGTCCCACCGCCGCTGCCAATCATCCCTCAGCTTTCATTTAAGATAGGGTTTGAGGTCAAGTGCAGGGACCACTATAGATGTATTGACGGTGGCATTCTCGAGGGCAGAAACAGCTAGTCAATCCGCCAACAAGTTTCCTTGGATCTCGCGGTGTCCTAGCACCCAGCAGACTACGACATAATGTTTCTGTGCGTAGGTCTTGCATAAAAGTGTGTAAACAGGGGCAAGAACAGGGTTCATGTGTTATTTAAAGGTTTTCAGGGTTGTTACCCCACTTAGAGAGTCAGTATATATCACAGCTTCTGCCAACTTCATTTCTGTGATATGTTTGATGGCCGATATTATCGCGTATGCCTCTGCAGTGAAGGTGCTCATATTGGGGTGCAGCACACCTACATCCGAAAAAGATGGACCAAGAGCGGCATAGTACACAGAAGTACGCGATTTCGAGGCATCGGTAAAGAGTTTTGAGAAAATGTATTTATGCTGTAGTTCAAGGAAGTGTGTATAGATATGCGCAGTAGGTGCATGTTTAGTAACCTCCATGAACGAAACACCACAGTGTATGAGTTGCCACTGCCACGGTGGGAAATTTGCAGTGAGGGCTGCCAGATGGTGTTCGAGGAGTGGCACACCCATTTCCTGGGCTAGGCTCCTTACACACAGCGAGTAAGGCTGCCTCAAGGAAGGGCGGTTGTCAAATAATGTTGAACTAGAGAGATCGTTAATTGTAGAGTGTGCAGGGTGTTCCTTGTTAGTTTACTTTCAGAAAAGACACAAAAGCCGTGCAAGGTCTTTGCAGGTGAAGCCACCACTCATTCGATTCAGCATAGAGGCTTTCTACGGGGCTCGTGCGAAAAGCACCCATATAAAGACTAATTTAAAGATGGTGAACGGCGTCTAGCATCTTCAGGGCAGTTGGTGTGGCGGACTGATAGACAACGGCGCCGTAGTCCAGGCGAGTGCGAACGAGGCTTTTATACAGATAGCGAAGACACTTCTTGTCACTACCCCATGTGGTGCGTGACAACACTTTCAGAACATTCATGATTTTTAGCCACTTGTTTTTTGTATATTTGATGTGGGGTGTGAAAGTTAGTTTTGCATCTAATAGGAGGCACAGGAATTTATGCTCGGTCTTTACTGACAGAGGCTGACTACAAAAATGAATCTCAGGATCTGGATGAACACCCCTCTTTCTAGAGAATAGGACGCAAGTGCTCTTTTGTGGGTTCAATTTAAAACCATTTTCATCACTGCCCACTATGAAACCTTGCTTAAACTTGGCTGTATTTGTCGTTCAAACATGAAAAGATTGCACGATATAAAACCGGCCTGCACATCGTCGACATATGTGCAATAATACATATTGCGAGGGATGTGTAGCCGTAAAGAATTCATTTTCACAATAAAAAGTGTGCAACTCTGTACGCCACCTTATGGCACTCCTGTTTCTTAGACAAACGTTCCAGATAAAACAGCACCTACTCAAACACGAAATGTATGATTGGACAGGTAACTTTCAATTATAGTCAACATTCTTCCCCGCACACCTAAATGTGACAGGTCTAGGACGATGCCAAAGCACCACGCAGTGTCATAGGCCCTTTCCATATCGAGGAACACAGAGAGAAAAAATTGGTTACGGACGAAAGCGTCCCGAATTTCTGTCTCAATATGGACAAGGTGGTCAGTAGTGGATTTCGCCTCTTTAAACCCGCACTGATGTGGGTCAAGCAGATTATCTGTCTCTAGGAAGCGCATAAGTCGCCTGTTTATCATCTTTTCAAAAACCTTGCAAAGGGAGCTAGTTAGGGTGATGGGCCAGTAGCTTGACACAGAGGACAGGTCCTTGCCCTGCTTTAGGATAGGAATAACGATAGCTTCTTTCCAGGCTGAGGGGATCTCGCCGGAAAACCATACAACATTATACAGGGAGAGAAGGGGCTTTTGAGTTTCGGATGGCAGCTAGATGTTTTAACATTTAATATACTACTCGATCGGAGCCTCGGGCGGATTTATTGGAGCAGGTAAGGGAAGCCCGTAGTTCAGCTGAACAAAAAGGTTCATTGTATGCCTCGTGTTTCATTAATTTGTGCTCTATTTTCTGTTTTTCTATTTTGGTTTTATGTCACTGAAACGCTTGAGTATAGTGCGAGGAGCTGGAGACCTGTTCAAAGTGCTCCCCAAGGGAGTTCGCCTGGTCCTCCAAGCTGTCGTCTTGTGTGTTCAATTGTGGAAGCAAGTGTGCTTGTCATCCTGCTACTTTACAAAACATGTTCCAGAATCTCGTTTCATCTGTATATGAATTATTACCCCTTGAAAATTTCTGCCAGCTCTCTCTTCTAGCTGGTCGACGCACTCTTCTTTCTTGGAACTTATGTTTTCGAAACTGTCAAGATTCTCAGCTGTCGGTGAGTACCGAAGCAGCCTCCACGCTTTATTTTGCTTTTTGCAGGCATTTTGACACTCGCTATTCCACCAAAGAAGCCGTCGTTTTGTGCAGAGTCCCATTTGTGGGATACATTTTGTTGCATCAATTAGAAAAGCGGTAAAAAAGTCAACAGCCACGTATGTTGGACCAACTTAGGTGAGTAGCTTTATCAACCTCTTCTCAGTTGGCCTTGTCAATCTGCCATCTGGGAATCTGTGAAGGACAGGCATTATCTATTGCTGTGCTCAGGATTATTGAAAAGTGATTGCTTCCGTAAGGGATATCAATGACTTTCCATTTGAGTAGGGGTAGGAGTGAAGAGGATGTGATCCTGAGGTCTATGGACGAGTAGGTGTTGTTGGCCAGGCTGTAATATGTTGGTTGGTTCTGATTCAAAAGACAAGTGCCGGATGAGAAAAGGAACTGTTCAATAAGACGACCTCGTGCATCGCAGCGAGAATCACCCCATTAACTACTATGTGCATTAAAGTCTCCAAGAACCAGATAGGGCTCAGATAGTTCATTTATCAGGGATCAAAATTCATGTTTTTCAAGGCGGTACAGGGGAGGTGTGTAGAGAGAGCAGATGGTGATAAGTTTGTTCAAAAGAACTGCTCGAACAGCCACTGCTTCAAGGGATGTTTGTAATGGTAAACGTGTACACGCAGCGCTTTGATAAACTACCTATAATGGCCACCCCACCAGATGACACAAAAGCGTCATCCCGATCCTTTCTGAATATTACATAACGACATAGGAAATTGGTGTTCTTGGAGTTTAAGTGTCTCTCTTGTACACACAGCACTTTTGGCGAGTGTTTCTGTAAGAGTTCCTGGGTTTCGTCGAGGTTTCTAAGCAGTCCTCTGACGTTCCATTATATAATTTGTGTATCCCTTAGGAGTGTAAATGAGTGCTGTGTGTACTAAAAAAAACTATTGCATTAACTCAGGAGCCCTTGTCAGGCCCCGTGATGATGGTTTTTGACTTTCTGGTGCGCTCTAAAGAGCCGCGCCTGTCCTTCGGTGCCGAATACACCGATGAACTTGCTGTTGTGTCCATCACCTCGGACAAGGTGCTGGATGCCCGCTTGCGGTTCACGAATGCGGGCACACAAGTCTTAGGGCTATCTGTCGAAACAGAAGGCCCTGGGGCTTCAGGTCTGGAGGCCTGCAAGCCTTTTGGTGGCGGAAGAGTCTGTGCTACTTTCACTGAGGGGGTGAATGGCACTGCCGCCCATCCACTTTGTGTGGTATGTGCGGGCGCCGCGGATTTTGGTGGCACTGCTTTCTTTCGTGCCACCTGCGCGAACGAAGGACCCTGCAAAGATACTGTAGACCCTTGCATGCCTCCTTAAACGAGATGTTTTCATTTACTTTGAGTTTAAGCATTTCTTTTTCGTTTCCACGCAGGACATGTGCAAGAGTAAGCGGGGTGCCCACCATCGCAGTTTGTGCAGTGGGGAGTTTCTTCTTCACAGTTGTCTGTAGCGTGTTCGTGCAAACTACGCTTTGCACAGGCTTGACGTCCACGGCAGCAATGAGAGCCGTGGCCGAAACGCTGGCACTTAATAAAACAACGATGGGGGTTGAAGATGTAGGTTCGCACCTTTAACTTCAAGTAGCCTGTTTCGATATATTCTGGAAGTGCGCTTGTCCAAAATGCAAGAATGAGGTGCTTTGTCGGGATTTCTTTGTTGTCATGCCTTATCTTAATCCTCTGTATATGCGTTACGTGCTGTTCATTCCAGCCCTCAAGGAGCTCTCTCTGTCAGGTTAATTAGGTCTTGATCAGATACTACGCCTTGGGAGCTGTTCAGGGTACGGTGAGGTGCGATAGATACAGGTGTGGTTCCAAAAGAAGCGAGTTTTGTCAGATTTTCATACTGGTTCTTGCTTTAAACTTCAAGAAGAAGGTCACCACTAGCCATACAAGTAGCCTTATAACCTGGACCAAGGGTATTGGTGAGGCATTTCGAAACGACAAATGGGAGATTGTTTTTGCATTTTTTTTTTGTGTGTGTTTCACAGTGAATCACATGGAAGCGTGGGAAAATTTTTTTGGCTTTAAGAAGACATTCAGCGTTCCTTCGGTGCGCTTCCTCTTAGGGGTAAGGCGATGAGACAGTTTGGAAAATGAAAAAGAGGCCATAAACCAACTATAAGTTCAGCAGCCATGCCAGCCACCCACCATGGGGCCCAACATGGAGACGCGGCAGCACAATTATAAAAAGGCATGCCAGCGCCACCTGCACAAAGCCACTATAACCCAATATTATGTGACCAAGAGGGGGCACATACACAAGGTTAACCCTTGCCGCCTGAAGGAAGGAAGTAAAAAGAAGTAAGGAGATGACAGGAAAGATTGAAAAGACGAATATATAGGGAAAGAGGGATAGGAAAAGGCAACTGTCGATTTTATCTGGGGGGGGTCAGCCCAAGGGTGCCGTCTACGTGAAGCCGGGGCCAAAGGGGTGTGTTGCCTCTGCTGGGGGGCCTTAAAGGTCCAATCACCCGGCGTCGGCTCGATTCCCAGGATCCCCTCTTCCCCGAACACGGCAAAGTCACGCACGGCTAGCCGTGGGAAAGTTCAGAACCCCCCGTTAGCTTGGGTCCGTGGTGTCGCTACCCAGTCAAAAATAGTTAATGGGTCCAACTGGATGTTCCAGTTAGGAGCAATGGGTGGCAAAGGGGGCTAAGTGGGGTTCAAATGGTGTCTAACTGGTGCCCAATTGGAAGTGCATGCTGCAATGGGACTGTCCAATTGGACTTCCCATGTAGTGGCTTCTAACATTTTAACCAACTCTGCATATTTGAAGTTCTAACAGGATGACCTGCTGTCATGATAGGTGGTTCCAGTTGGTTGCAATGGGACTCAAATGGACGTCAATGGGACCCAAGCTGCAATGGGAGAGTCCAATAGGACACCCCAATTGCAGTACATGCATAACTTTGAAGTTTATTTTTTACAATTCTCTACCTGAGCAGTATTGAAAGTCATAAATGGAAATCTACGGTGATGCATCCAACCCTCCATATAAAGCAATTCATTTATGTGTGTTACCCAAACAGAATTCGAGCTAGTGCTTCAGCTTGGAATCCCTGAGCTCGGTCACTTACTTAAACCTTGGATTAAATTAAGCTTGTTTACAACACTTGCCTGGTTTACAAACAACCACTGTATCAGGGCATCTGATTAAGCTTTCCATATATGCATCATGAAAATGCAGCAGTTAAAGTACTAGTACACATTGGAACCGCACCTTCTACTGTTTGCAGCATCACAATGTACCAACGATGTCTTATTCCCAAACTAGGGAATATGGCTAACTACCAGTGAGCACCTGATGTCACGTGTTTATGGGCTACCTGTCACTGCATATAATGCTGCTGCAGGATATGACTGAATTTTTTAATATTCATACGATAGAAAAGGTTATGCAACTAAGAGAAAACAATTAGATGTTCTCACTAACAAGATATCCGAAAGAAGGTATGAAAGGCAACAATAACATTGAAAAAAAAAGAATTTTATTTCAAGGCAAACAGGATTTAAATAGCACAGAACATATTTTGGTGTAAAAAAATTTCTTGGCCAGTGCTGCAACACAAGGCGTACAAGATACTTCAAATATTACAAATACTTATAACAGTAAATTGAATCACAATAAAAGGAATTTTAGTTCCAAAGGAGGAAAAAGGCATTGCCATACAACTGGCATTTCAGTAAAGCACTGAGAAACAGGTTTCATACAGGTTAACAGTTTACACGTGAACAGCATGTCTTTACTTATTTAAGGATGCTTAAAGGTCAACTCCGGTGGTTTTTCGAGGTCAACGAATCTCAATCAAATTCGCTGGGTACACTCTTACGCACATTCCTGTCATTTATGCCAATTACAGGCTTGAGAGATGCGCAGATTATTTGCAAATGAATTTTAAAGATTGCCTCGAAAAACTCGCCTCGCTTGCCAGAATTATTGGCAACACTGTCAGTGCGATGTCAAGTTTGTCATGTCAACGAAAGTGACGCAGGCGATGGCATCGCTACTTTGGCCCCTACATTGTTTATTGTGCTGGCCCCAAGACGACAGCGGTGGTGTTTGGCACGACCATAGCACGGGAGAGCTTTCTTCCTTCCTCTGTGGTGTTTTGCCGGTGCTTCGCTGGTCTGGCTTTCACAGTTTTCATACTACGTGCCGGCAGAACCAGTATACGGCCTCCAGTTCTTAACAAATAGTACATCATATGCAGACCGGGCGCCCGGTCGGGTTTCGGTTTTGCACCTTTTTGCTTATTAAAAATTGTTTTCGAATTTCCTGAGCATTTCAGCTATTGGGCTCGTGACAAGAGTGTCTCAGGAACACAGAAACACCATTACCTTGACATGGTCGAAAAATCGCTGGAGTTGGCCTTTAAGGATGCTCACAGTGGCACAATGAATTATGTATGAATGACAAGCACACATTCTATGCATAGTGTACAAGACTGAACTTGTATGAAAAAGAATAAAAAGCGTCATGTAATATTGCAGTACCCCGACACACACACTAAAATAAAGAATACAATAGCAGTAAGAATAAAAAAAATACAGCACCCACTGAATAAATATAGGAAAACATTCAGTACACAATGCAAATATAAAACATTAATACACACAAAAAGAGACATAATAAATTTAAAGAAATTCAGACCCACCGATCTCTTTTCGGTAATATTCAGATACCTAATACAATATGCAAAACACTAGACTTTAACGAAAAAAAAATATTTCCAAAAACAATCAAACCTAGAGAGCAAGCTGGCTTACAGACAGATATTTCACAATTTGTCACAGCCATGTGGTCAATCAATTTAATCTGCACAGCACGATAAATCCCTCTATATCAGTGGTCTCAAATATGCAGCCGGGGAGGCTCTCATGTGCGGGCCCACACATAACCATTTTCACTGCACATTTAAAAACATTTTCTTGGTATGTTCATGAGCTACACAGGCATGACTGCTCTAAAGAACAATTTTTATGAGGTACACCATGTTGTCACCATGCATTGAAACATAATCGTGAAACAAAAAATCATCACCATATCCAGAAAGTGAATGATGTTAGGTGAGCTTGCTTGGAGATGATCAGGTCACCCCGCGAATCCTCCGTACAAATCTTCTATTACCATATATAGACGTGGCAATGTTATATATACATAACATACTCAATGTTTATTAATTTACATTTGGATTCACTATATACTTTTTGATGAACTATATACATTATATACTCAAACGGAATTGTTTCAATGGTATGAGTCATCATGACAAACATCTTGCCTACTAGAAGAGCTAACTAGTCACGGGTGGCGATTTCACGTCGATCGCCTCAAGGCATTTCAAGGGCCACTCACATAAAAAAACGCTCATGTTTTGAGGCATAGTGTGCACTAAACAGGGTTCCTTTAAAACTTACACAGCATAGGTTCTTCACTTCAAATACATTACAATGTAAAGGAACTTGGAGGGAAGCATACATAGGAAGCTCTTTCGAGTTCCACAAACACAACCACCTTTCTGATTTCAGAGCATTCGACCAGTGATGTATTCGCTGCCTTGTGATTTACTTTCAGCACATGTGACATGGCCACCAAGTTGTACATCACTGGACTGCAGCTTAATTTCCTTGCAGATATATATGCTTTGTTGTCGCTGCCATGGTATATTTCTTCAACAATAACAAAATGCCCATTTTGAAGTTCAACAACAGAGCTATTGGTCCTCTTGTTAGATGCATACATGCTATCAGTGATAATTGATCCCTTCGCCAACATTCTTCTGTATTTGGTGAACTCAAGGGTAGTGTCATGTAAAGATGGCTGCAAACCTGCTGATGCACGTCGGGAACCGTGTCCGAAAAAACGGTAGCCACCACTACTAAGTACGCTTTTTTTGCGTTTTTGTGCCATCAAAAGACGAGCAGTACTCTGCTACACTTGGACTGATAGCCTGCCGTTGAAGTTCTACTACCATGCTTTCCATCTGTAGGACTCGGCAGACTTGATGGGGAATTCCGTTAGCTGCTTTTACAGCTTTTTTTAGGCTGCCGTTCCCAGCTTCAAATGGGAACGCACTGTGTGCCCAAAGTGGTCCCCAGTGGCGCACACTCTTTGCTATATGAGTCAGTTGGTGCATGTTGAATGTCATGACTGACTTGCCAAACAGCAGTTCTGCACGCACATGAAACTCCAACAATAGCCCCTCGGCAATGGTGAGCTCAGTTGGGCTGATTGCACGCTGCAACATTATGTGCAAGGCTTCAACTAGGCAAGCCCAGTGTTGCATGTATGGCTTCTCAAGAATGCCATGCAAAACAGGGACACTGTAACAAAGTAGCCAGCTCTCAAGTTCCTTGGCCTTCCACCATTTCCGCTCTTTTGTCGGCCTCGGCAATCGCTTCACATCCATTGGTGGCTTAATAGACATAAGCCTGCGGTCCACTATGTGCTGATGTCGGCTTATTGAACAGGCACTATCAGAATTGAACCACAATTCTAGGAACTGGCGCGCTACCCCCAGCAAGACACAGTGCATATAGTCTGGCACAAAGCTCCACACTATGTTAAAATGGGGCAGGTTTATCAACGGTGACACTGTTTTGACTCCTTGCACAGGCACCCCCCCTTTCAAAGCAATCTCCATGTCATTTAGCATTTGGAGCTCACTTCTTTCTGTGGGTTCAACTTCCTCAACTGGGTATTTAGTTGCCCCGCCAGCTCTCTCACCTCTTTGGAGACACCAATTACATCCAAAATACCCATTAAATTGGGTTACACCTTGCATCGGTGCCCTAGCAACAGAATCTACACTTGAACAGATACAATAGACCTTATATTTTTCAACCCTTCCTTGACGTTGTAATTCAACGCCATTCTCACACAGCTCGTTCATTTTCTCAACAAAAGTACCTTGGAAAAGTGCCATGTTTGGCTTTTCTTTCCAGAACCACAATGCGGCCAGGACCAATTTGGACATTCTTTGCTGTGGAGGGAGCTCATTAACAATTAGCTGGATGGGCCAAATTGATGTCCCACTTGATTTGAAAAGCGGGGTCCCATCTGCATTCAACGAGAAACTGATTCTTGGTCCACAGTGTTGAGATTCGGCTACAAAAGTACGATACATTGTACCATCCCAGATGTCTGAAAATGTCCCATTCGTCGGAAGGGGCTTTGTTAAATCAAGAAGATCACAGTCCTTAAGTAGCCTTTGAAGTTGCGACTCCACATCGAGAGTGACAAAAAAGGGGGCATCCGAAAGGGAAGACACAAAAGTTGTGTGACTGCACTTCGAGCATTTCAAGTAAGAATTTGTCTCAAGACTGCCAATATGCGAAAAGCATCTCGGACAAAAAAAGAAAAAAGTCATAGTGGTGCCAGTTTCGCTAAAAAGTTTATGTAGGTGATACTGTGAGTGAGGTAATATAGGTTTATCAAAAATTCTGTTAATTAAATCTATTAAGCTAGTTAAACCCAAAAGAGTCAAATTATTCTTCACAGCATGCTTTAGTGCCATTAGGAGAATATCTCCCTTCGAAAGAACCACTTTCTCAGTGACAAGTTGTGTAAAAAGGTCTCCAAAGCGTGCCTTGCAAGATGGATCAGGCTCTGTCACTGGATCTGCAGCAGGCTGCTGAAAGTAAAAAAAAAAAAAAGCTTTCGTCAATGAAGCTATCACAGAATTCAGTTATAGTGAACTGTGATAAGCCCAATGAATATGAGCAAACAACTCTGTTATTGATCAGTACAAAATATCATGCCTGCTAGGCTGATAACTTTTTACAGACCAACTGGTGAGATATTCTTTAAAATGAAAGAGCCAGTGATCTTGAAATGAATCATTCACCAAATCACCGCTACGTGTCCCTCTTAACAGTGCCCAATTTACACAGACATTTTCCAGTACATAAAAGAGCCTGTGAAAGTAGTGCCCTTAAAACCTGACCATAAATCTAGTTATTTCCAGTGAAAACAAACACACCATGTCATCATCTAATGTGAGAAAATCTCCAGGGAAACCTTGCTGTGAAGCATGGTCACTTGAAAAAGCTTCCTGTGAAGAAAAAAAAAAAGAAGCATTTAGTGCCACAGTAACCCAATCTGCCTATTCTAGTTAGCTGTGCTAGTTCACTCATAGCACGTAAATTACATGACAACAGACAGTGTTAAGAACATGGTCTGAAAACCTGTTGCAGGTTGTTCCCAGAGTTTATTGTCCCAAGTGATAACTCGTCTTGAACTGATTATGCAAGAGAAAACCACAGTGCCAATGCACTTGCTCAAGGCTATTCTAGTGGATGTGAATCTTCCAGCTGCACATATTTGTAGAGTGCAACTAGTGTGTAAAAGTTACCTCTTCATCCTTATCAAACAGTGACGAATCATCTGCGTCAGAAAGGCTTGCAATGCCGTCTTGAAGTGGAGAGTCCTAAAAAAAACCAACCAAAATTTATAATTTCCCATCGTAATACATAAGCATAAAATAGCATGTGTATGCTTACTAATTAACTGATAAGCCTTAGTAAAATAACTTCATCTGCTGGGGCGTGAGGCTCGCGTGCAGGAAATTTCTGTGACGGATCAGCGCTGTTCCTCTGCTCTTGTGCTTCAGGGGCTGCAGCAGGAGCTTCCATAGCACTGCCAGCTGACGAGCCTAACCGGCCTCCACTTGACGTTACCTGTGATAGAACAAGTGCGCCGATATAGTAAACGGTTTATCGTATAGAAACAATAGTTCTCGTAGCATTCTACTACCAGCTCAATTTACCGGCTCATTATCGGACTCGGGGAAATCTTCTTCACTTTCCGGACGTTCGGAGCCCGGACTAGCTATGTGACTATTCCGGCTCTTCAGTGATGTTGTTCGACTTGGTGGATCTGCCCTTTCAGTGTCGCTGTCTGCCTCATCACTCGAAGAAGGCATGCTAGGGCTGGCACCCTAGAAGAAAATAATGAGATTTGGACTTAAATTGCTGCGCTAAATTAATGAAAAAGAAAATGCACTGATAAAAAATAGCAATTTAACACGGCCGAGCACATTCGATCATTCGCGGGCAGAACTATAAAGGGTGGTAAAAAGGAAGACCGTAAAACACGGCGCAACGATCGAAGTCGTTGAGCAACATGCAGATTAATGTTGTGGACAACCGCTGATCTGATACCAGCAGGGCCCGGATCAAGCTAAAACCCCGATCGAAAGTGCCCATCCATGTTGAAAATGATCAGAACTTACGGTCGGCGGGCAAGCGCGTGCGGTGCTCCTTGGTAGCTGGAACTGAGACTTGGGATTTAAATAAGTCTTGTAGGGTCCTCTCTTTCTTTTCTTCGGACCGCGCTCCATCGCGAGGTCTTGAAGCAACAAGACGGCTTATTTCACTCCGGGACACGAAGTACAGAAACGGCGATGTAAGCGATAGGACAATGTGCACCGGCTGCCTGCGGCCACAGCGGCTGCCATATTGCATAGACACCCTGCAGCCAGCAGTCTGCATGTGAATTGATTGAAACAGCGTAGCGTTAAACAAACATTATAAAAGTAAAAAAATACTTTTAAAATTATTCTGATTTTTTGTTTACTTATAATGAAGAATAACATTTTCATTGACAAACTATCAGATCCGCAGCTGCGGTCGACCCTTGTTGCTTGCTGTGTGCGACCAGCGTTTGACCAGCTGTAGCGCACGTGTGTAGATGTTTTCTTCAGCATTGCAAGATGATTACCCACGTTCGAGTCCGGTACGAAGATGATAAAAAAATTGGAACGGTGCCAATAGAAGACGTTAAGATTTCTTCCCCCGTCACCAGCAAGACTTCAAGTCCAAATCCCTCTATTTAGTCAAATGGACGGACGACAGTGGAGACAGCGATTACTATAGGGCCCGGATTCTGGCACTGGGAGGTAAGCCTGCTTTTGTTTGATATGTTGCCGGCGAAATGCATTCTCTTTGGCCTGGCTGACTGCTAAGCACTGTTCACCGTTAGTAACTACAAAGTATTTTATCGATAATCTCCACTAGCATAGTTCATTTTGTTAATTTACCGCGTGCAATCGCAAATAAGTATGGTGTCATTATTAATTTATGCATATACCTGAAAACTCTACGGAGATGACGCTGGTATTTACCTGGCCGCAGAGAGATACCAACAGCGTCGGGTATATCAGCCTGGAGTATATAAGGCCCTTTTGCGGTAGGACGCGCCTTTGTTTGTGGCACTGCAGCTTTTATACCTAATGACAAGGTCTATACGCTACTATTTCGCTCGCGGCATATGACGTTGTGTTACAACGGTACTTAAGCATTCACACGAGGTTCGATGGTTAATTTACAATGCAATAAAACTAATAAAAGTGCATGCTAGAGATCGTGAAATGTGCACGCGTCAGAGGATGATGTGACACTAACTCAGTAAATGTTAATGTTGCAATCCGCCCTCACGTTTTCCAGAATCGGAGGACTTCGCGGAGACAGAGGCCAGAGAGAGAACGCGTATTCCGAAGAGGGTTTATTCGCCGGCGTCTTCGGACTACGAGAATGAAGCGGAGGTAAATTATTATCTAAACCTCCTACAAAAGGTCCTGTCAACACTTGTGTAAACAGTGTGTAACAAGTTATTTTCTATTTTCGCCCAGAGCCCTATCAAAGAAAAAACGAAAAACAAAACAACAAGTGGTGCAGAGGCACGCCTGCTTCAGCTTTTAAAAAGCAAGAAAGAAAATATGAAGAGGCAGGCGAAAAATCAAGATGGGCCACATTCTAAAAAGCACCACAAAGAAGCAATGGACAGTGGGCGCCTTCAGGGGGCTCATGAAACCATTGATAACCTTGAAGAGCAGGTAGAGAAAAAATCTACCATCATTCGCCAACTGCGAAAACAAAATGAAGAAAAAGACAGGGAGATGGCTCAACTCAGAAGACTGAACATGGAGCTTCAGGACAAGGTTATTTCTGCACTGGAAGACATGAAAGGTATGAAGCAGAAAATGTCTTCATTGTACTGATTTTGTGCTGTGAAAGCATTAATGCCATTCTTCTGACATTTAGCAGTGTGTACAGCTTGTTACCATAAAACGTTCGGCAGTCTTTAAGTGAAGATATTTCGAGTTTAGACTGCAAATGGCTATTGTTTACAGCTGTTTGATGAAATTTAATGAAAATATTTTGTCAGCTCTTTTTCCTCTCTGGGCAATGCAAACAGCACGGCACCTCATGTATAAATGCAGGCTGCAGAATTATGAAAAGGATCATGGATGGCAGCCAGTCGAGCCCCTCCGTGTCTGAGGATCTACAAGACACCTTGACAGAGCGAGCCCTTCGCCCAGGTTCATCCAATCCGCAACCGAATGACAGTGAAACAATGGTATTCTATCTGGAATGTCAATAATGTGCAGCTGTCCAAATTACAAACAACTGTTCTTTTGAAAGCATGTTAAAATAATATAAAGCAAGATTGAGCATTATAGATTACTTGTCATAGAAGTTTGTCTCTGCACAGCTGAGCAAGACATTCCAAAAAGAGTTCAGTGATCATTATAGATATGTGTAAATTTTAAGCAGAACTTATGAACAACCAAAAAAAATGAATTTCGTTGTCAGCAACACAACTTACTAAAACAACTTCACTAACGTACTTGTTGGACAGAAATATTAAGGAATACACTTGGCCTTGTCTGCTGCTGTTTTAGCCATCTCGTGCTGCGCGGATTCAGCACAACCTCACTGAGAAGGTGCAGGCACTTTGTAAACTGGTCTTGCACAAAGGCTGCACTTTCTCTCAATGAATACTGTGGTGCTGACACCACCATGTGCAGTTCATAGAAAGAATGCTAGAGTGCAGCACCACAAAACTGGCTGACAAAGTGCTGGTGAAATGAATAGACCTTTGTTGTTTATGATATGCAATACAGGTTGCACTGCACATGGATGCCTTCAGAATGCATATGTTCCGTGCAGGTGGACATTGGACGAGGGCTTATGGTCAAGAAAGGTGCATGGGAACATGTGCAGTCCCATCATAAGGATTCCTTATTTGTCAAGGACCTGCTAGTCACCATCTGGTCGAAAGACAACCTTAAGGAGCGCTCCCTGCATGGTTGGTTATAATACAAAAGCATAGTGTGTGTCAGTTGGTAACGGGGGAATTCGTTGTTGTGGATATCTGTTATGCAGGAAAACATTGTCCACGGTACCCTAACCGTCCACGCAAGGCTCCCCTAACACCGTGGAAGTTGGACGTAATGCGTGGTAAGTGTGCAGACAGTCTCTTGGAATGCATATTGAACCAATCTTATTCTTAGTACATGAAATCACAGCAAAGCTCGGTTGCAATTGAGTCTATTTTGAAGCCACTACAAACTTTACTGTCTGCTTTGACTTCAGTTATGAACACAATTTTACATAAACTATGTAGTTGTAAAAATGTGACCCAACACCTTGCCTCTTACTTACTATTAAATTCATTTGTTTTAGTCAGGAGTGCAGGCAGGTGAAAGTCTTAAGTCTCTTAAATGCACTGGTAGTTCAAAAAGATAGTCGAAAAAAAGAAAAGCCAACAATAGAGCTAGTGTGTAGACTGCCAGCATTTTTTTCATCATAACTTATATCTCTTTCATAAAAAATGACAAAAAAAGAAATAGTGTTCTCTGCTTTCTTCCTGCACTATATAAATCCACACAGTTACATGGTGCGAGTGGAGAGCTGTGAAATGTTACTTTTTTAGATTATTTTTGTGCATGTGCACGCTAAGTTCGCAGTTTCCTTTTTCTAATAAATGCTGGAACGGAACACTTTTGCTAACTGGAGAATGCTTTCTGTATTGTTCAAGCCTGTGCTGCTAAGGCATATTCTAGGCCATTCAGCATATAACACTTCATTGCATCAAGAAATATGACTAAAAGTTCAATTTTGAACTTTTGTGTTCTTAAAGTAATATCGATGCTATTAGTTCTTTAAGCAGCTGGTTTCTTCAAGGCTATTTATTGATAATTTTTGTTGTTTCAGACTGCTACAGAGCACGTCTGGAGCATCAAGGCGTGCCTGCAGGAGTACTGCCGTTGGCAGTCAAACAGATGAACCACTTCATTGTTGAGAAGCTTTCAGATATTGAGAAGCTTGCCAAGCGGTAAGATAAGTGTGTTCTTTGTGTCAAAGGACTCCCCCCCCCCCCTTTTTTTAAGAGAAACTTGGCCATATTCATCTGCTTGCAACATGCATGTACAGAAAGAGACTGAGAAAATTTGGAGGCTCGTCTGGCATTTTGGCGCAGCGTGGCGCAATATGGTTTTGGCAGCTCGGCGCAAAAGCGGGGAATTGTATCAAATTCGCGTAATTGGCACAGCTGTTGTACCCCTTCAACATGCATAGCTATTTTTATGTTAATGTTTTTATGTTAAATCACATCTAGACTTGGAAGAATGTAAGCCATTGTGTGGCTGACTAAATGTATAAATTCTGCAAAACATTTGCAGGGCGAAGGACAACCAGGGCGTTGCGGAAGTTTAACAGAGGAGGACCATTGGTGCATTTTCTAAATAGTGTAAATATTATGGAATGTGTGAATAAATTTTCATTCTTTCATATTTTTTTTTCTCTACCATTGTTTTTATCTTGTATGTGCATGCATTTGAGTGTGCATTAATGTCACATTCACACTAGGTAATCCAGCCTGTGCTGTTTCCACTGTGTTGTGAAATTGCAATTAATGAAGTGCAGTGTGATGACAGCCAGCCTTCTACAGGATTGTCATTTTCTACTTGCATCCGCAGAAATGTGATAATCATGTTTATAGGTCAGCCAAGAGACTGCAATTACTACACTACTACTTAGCTTCAGTTGGCTCTCTCTGTATACCAACCACTGGCTGGCTGAAATGCAGTTAGCAATTTAGCGTCAACCAAGTGCTTACCAGAAACTAATGGCCAGCCATATTAAATTGGCTTACCAGGTAGAATGGTGACTGGCTAAACACCAGCTTTTGTCACTGGGCCAATCATCTGGATACATGCAGTGCAGCTTGGTCGAAGACCAGAGAGTCACAACGCAGACGAGCGCTTGTCTGTGTTCTTTGTCTAAGTTCGCGCTGCATGTATCCAAGTATGTATCAACTAGCCCAACTCAACCTTTTATTGAAACATATGGAATCATTGGAGTCTCAATTACCATCAAAGTGCTGACCATTTGCAACAATGTGGGAAGTCATGTGGTTACCAGCCACATTGAATTTGCTTACCAACTAGAATGAATTGGGGGCTGTTTGGAATGCCAGTTACGATCAGTGGGCCAAACATCTGGAACCACAGGATTACCAGTTAGCTTCAACGGGTTAGTCTACTGAGACCTGCCGGGCAACCACGTGCCTACCATTAATTTTCAATGGGTTGACCATTTCAGGTCAATGGGTTTTCTATTCACCACCAGTTGGCTTCAACAGGTCAGCCTATTCACACCAAGTGGACAACCACCAGTATACCATTTAGTATAAATGGGTTGACCATTTTAGGTCAATGGGGTTTCCTATTGACCACCAGTTAGCTTCAACAGGTCAGCCAATTCACACCAGGTGGACAACCACCTGCATACCATTTAGTATTAATGGGTTGACCATTTGAGGTCAATGGGGTTTCCAATTGACCACCAGTTAGCTTCAACAGGTCAGCCAATTCACACCAGGTGGACAACCACCTGCGTACCATTTAGTCTTAATGGGTTGACCATTTGAAATCAACGGGATATTTAATTGACCACCAGTTAGATTCAACGGGTTAGCCAATTCACACCAAT